AACCCCAAAACCCCAAAACCCCATGAGATTGAAAATCTTAAAATTTTAAAGAATAAGCAATATCATTTAAGATATGATGTTTAATTAAGAAATTAAGTTATCACTTAGTAAAAGGACTTGTTCTACAGAAATCAAAGCAATTAATTCTCTTGTGATTTGGCACTATATCAAATTAGCAAACTAAGATACTTACTAGAAAAGCAATCTGTGCACTAGCAATGACAATCTTAATTCAATCCAAGTTACCTAATAGTTTTATCATCCATCTTTAATCTATTTTTGCAGCGATAGAAGCAATTATGAACTGGATGAGGACTTATTTTAGAACAGCTTTCACATTCACACAGACAAAGTCTTTCGACATTATCCTGGAAATGCTTGTCATTATCATCTTAGTAGATCTAAGATATATTGGAAATAAAAAAATTTACCTCTACCATAGCATCAAGAGTTTCCATAAGAGGCTATCCATATTACCTAAAGCCTCTTCTTAGATATACAGAATTTTTATATGGACCGAGCGTAGCAATCATAAATTTAGGAGAAATCTAGGCGCACTAAGTGTGCTCTGCATGGCCATCTCTATGCATAGCATAAGCATTTAGCCACAATATATTTCTTAAACCCTGTGTAATTAATCACATTAACTTATGTATTGCTTACTTGTATCATTCTTGTTTCCTCATTATTGATAAAATTTCTAATGAATAGGCATTTACCTTAACTTTGGATGAACATATCATGACACTCAGCTGAACAAGTAGCACTACCGCAAGCAGCGCATATAGTAGAGTTTTTATTGCCAACCAATTTATTACCACATGGGCATTTTGCCTTTTCAAAATCTAGTAAAGTCCTATAGCCTGCATTAAATGACTCATTTTTTTCATTTCTTGGTGGTTCCATAACATTGAATATATCGAAACCCCAGTCTATAGTATGATTTGTATCAATATGATCATTAGCGCAGATATAGCACATTCCTGCTTCACAGGACATGCACATCTCAAGAGCCTTAACATTAGGATATTCCTTTTCCTCGTGAACCTAGCATGTAGAGATATTATCAGCGACTGATTTAGGGATATTAGGCTTGGGATATTAAACTTGCTTATGATTATGAGAATGTTCATGATTTGGATGGTGATGATGATGATTTTAATTGGTAACAGGGGTCTTTACAGCTTCAACGTTCTAAACTACCTATTGTGATGCACGTGTATTCTTGAACAATAATTGTGCAATTTTTTTCATTTCCTTAATTTATAGTGTTTAAATTTATTGATTAAATGCAATTATACACTAAAATGAGATTGAGGGGTTTTGGGGTTTTGGGGTTTTGGGG